CACTTTAATAATTTTTTCCTGGCTGTTTAGGATAAGAACTGAGGGGCTCACCTGTGAATGAGGCCTCTGTGGAGCAGGAGGCCGTGAGCACGGGAGCTGGCAGGGAATAACCCACGGGATTGGGAGGTGGAAACTCAGCTTCCTGCTGAGGCAAAAAGAACATCTAGATTTTTAATGACTACCTTGAGTTGGTTAATTTGTTTGTTTGTGCCATTCCTCTCATTTGTTTTTTTGGTTTTGGGGTTTTTTTTGTTTGTTTTTGGGTTTTTTTGGTTGTTTTTTTTTTTAGTAGCTTTGCCTTTGACTCTTTTCCCTCAGAACACGTCACTGTGTGATTTTACAAGCTCTCCTTCTCTCATTTCTCAGAGCACGGGGGTTTTGTTCACTTTAATTTTTTCCTGTCTGTTCAAGATGAGAACTGAAGGGCTCACCTGTGCAGCAGGGTGTGAATGAGGCCTCTGTGGAGCCTCACCCCGATGTTATCTCACGGGGTTAATGTCGTTCTCCAGCTGCCATTGTGCCTCTGGGGAGATGAATAGCCATTAATCAGGTCGCAGTTACCTTTTGGGATCGCTGTTTTCCTGGCAACCGGCCCTGTGGGAGCATTATCTGATGTTATCCAGGGTTTCTCAGCCATGAGAGCAGCTGCAAAAGAAGAGTTTTGTGCTGGACTCTGTTTCGTGCTCTGCCCTGGCCCACAATAGATTCAAAAGAAGGTGAGTCCATGTGAGGCAAAGCAAAGAAATTCTTCCCTGTGAGGGTGGGGAGGCTCTGGGATGGAATTCCCAGAGCAGCTGTGGCTGCCCCTGCATCCCTGGAAGTGTCCCAGGCCAGGCTTAGCAGGGCTTGGAGCAGCCTGGGACAGTGCAAGGGTCCAGGGGGTGGAATGAGATGATCCTTGAAATCCTTTCCACCCCAGCCCATCCTGTGAAAGATTTCAAGTGCCAAAACACATCACTAAACACATGGAAATAACAGGGATCTCTCAACACTCACAGCTGCAAGAAGACAAGCTCCAAATTCCACCTCCCCAGGTGAAAATATGGGTCTTGCTTGAAGGGAAAGCGTAGGGATTGGGAAACATTGCAGAAAACTGAGTTTTCTCTGGCATTCCTGGGGTCAGGAATCACCATCCCCACACCAGGCAAACACATCACCCTGCTCAGGCTCCATCTGCTGGAATCCCAGGGTTTTCCTCACTACCGAGCCACCGTGGTGGATCTAGGGCTGGCAAATCCCCTTTTCCTGCAGAACTCCAGCTGGAAGGGGATTCCCTCATCCATGGGACAACAAGAGGGTTTTTTCTGCCACAGTTGATATGGCTGCATACCTGAGTACTTTGTTATAAATTTTAGGGATTTCTTGGAACTCTGTGCTCCCAGAGACTCGGGATCAGACCCATGAGGACATCTCCTGGCCATGGGAACTTTCTGCCCTGGTTTTCTTGTGCTGTATGATCACAAATCCATAGCTCAGCTCTGTGCAGAACCTTCATTCCCTGCCTGGGGAAAAACCTCCAATGGAGACCTTCCAGGGATGCTCCAGGTGACAGCAGAGCAGAACCAGAGGAACACAAGTGACAGCTGAGTTATGCAACTGTAGAGAGAAACTCCCGAGCTGGTGACAGAGGGGGGGAAAAAATTCCTCCTGCTAAGTTGAGCTTGGGCCTGTGGCAGCGTGAGTCACCCTGAGCTGCCATGGTTACGGAGCAAGGATTGCTGAGCAGATCCAGAGCCTGCTCCCAGCGCTCACTCCTTCCAAACTTGGAAAACAGGCACTGGAGGTAAGGCCTAATAGAGAGTGGGTGTCTGCAAGGAGCAGAGTTACAGCGAAATCCTGGGAAAACAGAGTGCAAAGAGCAGTGCGAGGGGCAGCGCTGGGTAAAACTGGATTTCTGGGTCTCTGTTCCCCTTTTTGTCTGGTTTGCAAGGGCTGCTGTCAGGATTGTTCCACACAGAGGGGGAAAAAAGGATGTTTCCACGCCACGGTGAGAAAAAGCAGAGTAGTGTCACAGATGAATCAGCTGGCACCAACAGTGAGTCATGGAAATGCACCGTGGAAATTCTCCAGCGCGGTGGAATCTCTGAGGCACATCAAACCTGGCATCCCTGGGGAGCCAGGGCCAGCCAGGATGACGTGGAGAGCACCAGCACATGGCCAAAAAACTGCTGCTCCTCACGTGTGACCTCGCCCCTGCCATCCTCACCCAAGGCCTGAAGTGCCCAGGGAGGGATTTCAGCAGGTTCTCATGGAAAAGGTGTGCCTGATCCTTGCTTGCAGTGAGTCACAGCAGCAGTAAAAGGACGTGGTGGAGTCGGTTTGCTGATGATCAGCTCAGACTGACCTGGGCAGGGTGTAGGAGGAGGGACACAAAGTCAAGAAACCAGGGCAGGTTGGGATGTCACCACCCATTATTTCCCAGCCCACCCCACTTTGGGCACGCTGGTGACGCAGGGCTCTGCAGAAAGCTGAAAATCTGATCTGGAGGATTTTCTGCTGGTTTTTCCCCCAGCCTCCTTCTCTACTGGTCTGTCCCATGATCTCCTACAATCCTCATATCTCCCCACCATCAGCTGGGCTCACAGGCACAGAACAAAGCAAAAGCAAGCAGCAAATCTGACCTGGCATCTGTGATTTATGAAGGGAAAATAGGGAAAAGCCACCTAAAGCTCACCAACAGCCCATTTCCAGCATGCCTGGCTTGTCCAGTCATCCATGAGTGAGTTTCTGTGCTCTTTGCCCACAACTGCACTGCTAACATGGAGCAAACACCTTTGCTTCACGTGGCCTCAGTTTCCTACTTGAGCAAAAATGACACACTCCTTGAAAAATCTTTCGTGTGGAAGCACAGATGGATAGAATGGTGTTTAATTGATCTTGGTGTTTTGTGGGTGCATGGACCTTAAGCTGAACAATTTGGGGTCGAATTGGGTTCCTCTGACACACTGTGGCCCCTGCAGAAAGGCACAGAAACTCCTAAGTGAGTATGAACAGAGCCAAGTACCAGCTCTTGCCTTGAACTGAACAGTGTTTTAAAGCAATGAACAGAAGTGAGGAGGAGTGTGGTGCTTCTCACATCCCAGACAAAGGGGCTTGGCCATGGCGGCCCTGAGGGGAGGCTGCCTCAGGCAGGCTTAGCCGTGGCAGCCCTGAGGGGATGGATCCCTCAGGCAGGCTTAGCCGTGGCAGCCCTGAGGGGATGGATCCCTCAGGCGGGCTCGGCCATGGTGTCTCTGAGGGGATGGATCCCTCAGGCAGGCTTGGCCATGGTGTCTCTGAGGGGATGGATCCCTCAGGGAGGCTCGGCCATGGCGGCCCTGAGGGGATGGATCCCTCAGGCAGGTTCGGCCATGGCAGCCCTGAGGGGATGGATCCCTCAGGCGGGCTCGGCCATGGTGTCTCTGAGGGGATGGATCCCTCAGGCAGGCTCGGCCATGGTGTCTCTGAGGGGATGGATCCCTCAGGGAGGCTCGGCCATGGTGTCTCTGAGGGGATGGATCCCTCAGGCAGGCTCAGCAGTGGTGTCTCTGAGGGGATGGATCCCTCAGGCAGGCTCGGCCATGGTGTCTCTGAGGGGATGGATCCCTCAGGCAGGCTCAGCAGTGGTGTCTCTGAGGGGATGGATCCCTCAGGCAGGCTCAGCAGTGGTGTCTCTGAGGGGATGGATCCCTCAGGCAGGCTCTGCCATGGCGGCCCTGAGGGGATGGATCCCTCAGGCAGGCTCGGCCATGGTGTCTCTGAGGGGATGGATCCCTCAGGGAGGCTCGGCCATGGTGTCTCTGAGGGGATGGATCCCTCAGGCGGGCTTGGCCATGGCGGCCCTGAGGGGATGGATCCCTCAGGCAGGCTCGGCCATGGCGGCCCTGAGGGGATGGATCCCTCAGGCGGGCTCGGCCATGGCGGCCCTGAGGGGATGGATCCCTCAGGCAGGCTCTGCCATGGTGTCTCTGAGGGGATGGATCCCTCAGGCAGGCTCGGCCATTCTCTGAGGGGATGGATCCCTCAAGTGGGCTCTGCCATGCGCTTGCAGGGATTGATTCCTGAGGAGGGCTCGGCGATCCTGCCCTCAGTGCCCCTGAGGATGTCATGCCTTCAACATGGTGCCCACAGGGATGGATCCCTCAGGTGGCACAGTGCCATGCTACTGTGCTCTCAGTGCCCCTGAGGGAATGGATTCCTCAGGCAGGCTCTTCCATGGTGCCCCAGAGTAGGGGCTCCACCATGCTGCCCTGAGGGGAAGGGGCCCTCAGAAGGGTCTCTGCCATCACATCCTCAGTGCCTCCATGGGAACAGATCCCTCAGAGCTCCACCATGGCGTCCCTGAGATGAATTGCTGAGGAAGGGCTCCACCACGGCAGCCTCAGTACCCCTTAGGGGACAGAGTCCATGAACTCCACCATGGTGTCCGTGAGGTGACAGATCCCTGATGAGGGGTTGTACCATCGGCACCCTCAGTGCCCCTGAGGGGACAGATCCCTCAGGTGGGCTCTACCATGGTGTCTCTTAGGGGACAGATCCCTGACAAGGCGCTATGCCATTCCACTCTCAACGCTCCTCACGGGAAGCTGCCTCAGGTGAGCTTCACTATGGTAAATCTGAAGGGAGCTTCCCTCAGGCGGGCTCCGCCATCGGGCCCCTGAAGGGACGGTTCCCTCAGGCGGGCTCCGCCATTGTGCCCGAGGAATGGCTGCCTCAGGCAGCCTCTGCCATGGCGCCCCTGAGGGCACGGCATAAAGAGCAAGGGGCAGCTCCCCGCCGCTTGGGCGTCCCTGTCCGGCTGCCAGCTCGGGAGCTCAGCAAGGAGGAGAAGCCCCGGGACAGGGGAAGCGGCGGCGCTGAACGGAGCGGGCCGAACGGGGCCAACATGGCGGCGAGGGGCGGGGGAAGCGGGCGCTGACACCGCCCCCCCGCCTCGCCCGTCCCGTCCCCTCCCCTCCCCGGCGGCGTCGCCCCCCGCCCCCGGCGGATCTCGCGAGAGCGGGCGCTGCGCTGCGGTAGGAGGTCGGCGGAGAAGGACGGACGGAGCCGCCGCCGCTCCCGCCGCCGCCTCAGCCTCCTCGCCTTCCTCCTCCTCCTCTTCCTCCTGCCCCTGCCTCAGGAAGATGCCGCGCTCCGGGCCGCTCCCCGCCGCCTTCTCGCTCCTGCTGGCGACGGCCGCGCTGCTGCCGGGACCCGCCGCGGCGCAGAACGGTGAGGGAGGGCGGCGGCGGCGGGGGGGAGCGGGGGGGGGCGCGTTGCTATGGCGGCGGGTGCGCTGTGGGCAACCCCGCGGGTGGGGGGCGACCCCGGCTTTGGGGGGAATCCCTGGTGATTTGGGGCCCCTCAGGGGAAGGGGGAAGGAGGAGAAAAGGGGGGGGGGTACAGGCTCGGCCCCCCCGGCTCCTCCCGAGGCGCCTGGTGCCGCCGGTAAAATGGAACATCTCCTCATCTCCTCCCGCCTACTGAACCTGCATCTGCCGGGCCGCCTTAAATCATTTATAATGCAATAAAGCCCGTAGTTCCTTAGCAACTGGAGAGGTCCTTCTGATAGGAGAGTAAAAGAAGGAATTAGGGGAAAAAAAAAAAAAAAAAAAGAAGCAACAACCAACCCACCACACCCCAAGCCTTCTCCGTTCCTTGTAGGCTAGCGTGAGCTAAATCCAGCGCGGCTGCCTCCTCCCCGGCGAGTTCGCAGCCAAGTGCATGACAATTAGTGGCAGAGCGGAGCGGGGCCAAGAGGCTGCTCCAGCCGAGCCTCCTGCTCCAAGGAAATCCCGCAGCGCCGAGGAAAATGCCCGTGTGCTGCTGCCAGGCCGGGCAGCGCTGTGTGCTCCTGCTGCAGCATCATGGGCAGCGCTGCCCGCGCCTGGAGAGCCGGCAAGGGCAGGGAGCTCGGCCTGCGGGAGGATCCGCTGGGAAAAGCTGCCCACGAGCAAGGGCTGCCTCTCCAACACAGCAATCCCACCCTGGTTTCATCGTTTCATTCTCCTTTCTCGCTCCTTCCTTTCTGCTCTGCAGATAATGTTCAGTCCTAGGGTTTCCCGGCTGTTAAAGGGAATTTCGCCTTGGCTCTTTGCTCCAGGGGAATCCTGGAATCACAGGAGTGTGGAACCTCGCAGCCTGGTTTGGGTTGGAAGGGACCTTAGTGCCCATCCCATTCCACCCCCTTCCACCAGGCCAGCATTAGGGCTCTCAGGGTGTTTGACAGTGATATCCAGATGGGAAAAATGCCGTCCTAAAGGTCCCAGGTGAGAGTTATTCCCTGAGCACGTGCAGATTTTGCAGCGTGAAGGCAGCAGGGAGCTCTGTGTCTGTTAAGCAGAGTTTGGCATTGGCGCTGTGAATGAAAACTGAAGGCTCTCTGCAGAGTGAGGCAGTCTGGGAACACCCTGCTGGAGCTGGGTGGGATTTAGGGATCCGGGAATGGGGCTGAGTTGTGGATTAAATGTGGTTCTGTGCTCCCCGTGGCACTGTTGAGTTCCCAGAGAAATTCCAGCCTTGGGAGGGAAGGGGTTAAATGGAAATGGGTCGTGTGTTCGTGCAGGGAAGGTGTCAGGTGCCAGCAGCTGGGGTGACAATCCCGCGTGGCTGCCGGGACAGTGCAAACATTTGGCGTTTGGGAGTCTGGAGGGCAGTGATAAAGAGAATTTTGGTGAGAGCTGGAAAGGGGCTTTGTCCCCACCAAAGTGATCCTGGTGTGAGGGAGATTGCAGCCCGCTGGTGTGTCCTGGAAGCTGATTAATTGTTATTTTTAATGAAGTGGTGAGGGATACTCTGTAATGAGTTTCTGTAATGCTGCGGGAGCTCACACAGGTGAGTGAAAATCTGCTTGGGAAGGGGTGGAGCGCCCCAAGCCCAGCGAAAGGTTGAGATCTTTGTGACTTAAGGTTTATTGCTGCTCCAGTTTTAATGTGAAAAGGCCCTGGGCTTTTTTCAGCAAATAATGGCCCGTGGGGAGCTTCCTGAAACAGAACAATTCCTCTGTGGGTGGAGACCAGGTCCAGCCATTTCCTGAACTGTGCTTATTCCTTCAGATCTCCTCTGGAAACAGCTTCTCACCTATGGGTGTGTGCTGTGAAGGGGCGGGGGAGGATCCCAAAGGGCAGGAATTTGTTCTCTTTTATTGATGTGGAACCATCGGAGTGATGAAAGGTGAATAGTCCAAGTCAGGGTGCTGAAGGAATGGCCACGGACCTGTTGGAACTCACCTGGAGCAGAAAATCCCCACGGGAATGCTGAGTTTTGGTGGGGAAAAAAAAAAAAAAAAAAAGCTTTTTTCCAACCTCTGACAGGAGATCACTGCTGAATTCCCGGTGGTTTTTCCAGATTTTAATGCAACCCAGAATATTTGGAGTCAGGCTGACCTATGGATTTAATCTTGCTAAAACTGGGATGAAGGTTTTATTTTAAAAGGTTTTATTTTGAGGGGTTTATTTTTCGGGTGGCTTTATTTTGAAAACTTTTGCATCAACACCTTTAACATCTTAAGGAAAATGTGGCAGGAATTGAACTTTTCCTGACTATTTTGCTGGGAAAATGATCAGTTTCTGCTCATGGCTTACATCCAGAGCAGAGTTCTGATGGAACTGGGGGAGAGATGGGGAAGGATGAGGAGGAAGAGCTGGAAAAAGCCAGTCAGGAAGATTTGTGTTTAACCTGCACTTTCTAAGTTGGAAAATTCACTTTAATGCTTCCAAGCATGGAGGGGAGGAAAACATGACTTTTCCATCATTGTTTTACCTTGAAAATATCTTTATTTCCAAACCAGCAGCTGGAAAACCAAAGGCTTCAGTGCAATGATAATTCCACCCCAGAGTGGCTGGGATTTCAAGGTTATTTTATTCTCTGCAATTGCTGCTTGGGCTGCCCCAATCTGGGAAATCTGCAGTGGATTTTTAGCTCACCAACACAGGAGCTGGAGTGGGAGCAAACTGGCAAATTCTGCCCTATAGGGCAGAGAATTCTTCACCCTAAAATTGCTTGGGTTGTTCTAAGCTGAGCATGAGGGAAAATAAAACCAAATAAATTCAGGTGGTGCTTGTGCAGTTCCTCCTCTGCATGGATGGAGAAGGAACCAGCTGGCTGAAACCAGAATATGGATTTTCTGTTGGCAGAAACCAGCATAAAAATGACCATAAAATCAGGAAAATTAGCTAAGCTAATCCTGCATTCTGAAAATGAATTTCTTCTTGAAGGAGCCAGTGAAAAACTTTGCTTTTATCCTTGTTTGTGCCCACTGAACCTCATTCATTCCTCCCCACCTGAGCTCTGCTGTGCCTTTTCCTGGTGCCCAGATAAATGTGAGCATTTTTGGAGCCTGAGTGTGGGCTGAGCAGTGAGGAGAACGTTCAAAGTTCTCTCCTCCTCCTCCTCCAGGCAGGATCTCCCCTATTTCTGCTGCTTTATGTCCCCAGCCCAGGGTGGCTTTGTCACCCTCGGGCCCACCATGGATTTTATTTCATTATTTTATTTTCATTTTGGTTGTTATTGCAGCTCCTGAAATTCGCACACGTGCTGCACGTGGCTCCAGTAGTGAGATTTTATTTTTTGGGGTATTTTTCTCTAATCAGGACAATTCCAGCTCCTTTGAAGTTTGGTTTTGTTTAAAGCAGGAGGTGCAGTAAAGCACAGGGAGCTCTCACAGCTTGGGTCTACCTTACCCCGAGCCCTTTTTGCCATTTTTTCAAAGTTTCCCAGCAGAATTCTTCTTTCTGAAGGTTGGGATTTGGTTGGCTGGTGTGGGATTCCACAGTCTGATCCTTTGGATGTGTGAGGATGGGCTTTGTGTGTTCAAACTCCTCAAAACAGGAATATTTGGGAATAAATACAGTGATATTTTTTTTCCCCAAGTTAATTCTAGAATACAAATCCTGACTTCTGTAAACCTGGAGGACGGAGCTTGGCTGTTAAAACATGACAAAGCTCTATCAACTCCAATACCCAATCATTCAAATAATTATAATTATCTGTGGTTTTATTTTCATGGCAATTTATTCTCACTCCAGGTTAAACATTTGTTTGATGCCTGGTGCTGCTTTTGGAGATTTGCACTGAGAGACATTTTTCTAGAGGAAAAATAGATCAAAATGTCCTGTTCTGGTTTGAATAAACAAGAAAAAAAGGTTGTTTTTTTTTCTCTAATTCCTATAGTTTTGCATTCCGTGTTTTAAAATCCACAGCAGTGACTGGTGTAGCTCATTACATTTTGGGGGTAGTCACAGGGGTCTTGGGGCTCTTCCACTGGTTTGGAAATATAAAATTTATATTAAAAAAAAAAACATTTGCAGCATTTGTGTTGACAGAATAGGAAAACAAGAGGAAAGGGAACATCAGAGCTTGGAAAAAATGCATTTAAAACCCCAAAACTTCAGCTGGAAAAGCAGCTGGGAGCACATGGAATTGCAGGAACTTGGGAAAAGTGTCAGGGAAGATGTTGGGAATGCTGAGGGGATGGGTGGGAGTGCCCGGGGAAGGCTCCTGGCCGTGCACAGAGCTCCCAGCAGCCTGCAAGAATTCCGTGAGGGCGGACAGCAGGAGCTTGCACTAAACAGATGCTCGAGCAATTTTAAACCTGAGCGTGCACCAGCCAAGCTGAGCACTCCGGGGGTGATTTATTTCTTTTTTTTTCACTCCCCCCCTCACCGTGGTTTGTTGGGAAAAGCTTTGTGGTGCTTCAGCAGAGCCTGCCTCGGGTTCAGGCTGCAAATGGGGTTTGAATTGCTGTCGTTTGGAGCTGCTTGGAGGGGTTCAAAAGCAGCTCTGAATCGCGGCTCAGCTGCTCTGTTTGCTGGCCTGGTGAAATCTGTGCGGGTCATGGGATGTTGGGGAGCTCTGCTGGATGGTTAAAGGATGAGAAAATGCCTAAAATAAAGGTTTGCAGCTTGGTTTTGGTCTGGTCTGACCAAAAATGATGCTTTGAGAAGGCTGAGCTAGAACAGGGACTAGACTGAGCTCAGGAATAAAGCAGGGATTTATTAGGAGGCCTCAATGGATCCACCTTGGGCAGCCAAGAGCCCAGCCAGGGCTGCACCCAAAATGGTCACAAAAATGGACAGCTGGTCATGAGGTCTCTCACTTTTATGAGTTTTGGTCCATTTGCATATTGGAGTTAATTGTCAATTACAGCTTCAGCCATGAAGTCCCATCCTTTTTGTTTTCTGTCTTCAGTCAAAGATTGCTGCTCTGTGGGGTCCTGGTCCAGGGCAGGGTCA